TGCCATTGCACTCCAGTTTAGGCAACAGAGTGAGACTGTGCCTCAAAAAAAAAAAAAAAAAAAGATGAAGAAGATGGAGGTTTTCTTTCCAGTTCTCCTTTTTCCTTCCTGAGTCCTTACCAGAATCACCTTTAATGTCCATGTCAACCATTCCTTCCTGGCATCTAGGATTTTTCTAGCATTCACCTCAAAACTCCTCCAATGTCTACCTCCTCCAGCCTTTGGAATTATCTAGTTCCAAAGCTACTTGCACATTTTTAGGTATCTGTTATTTAACATTATCAAAATGTGTCTTAGTCGGCTTGTGCTGCCAAAAGAAAATACCATAGACTGGGTAGCTTAAACAACACAAATTTATTTTCTCATAGTCCTGCAGGCTAGAAGTCCCAGATTGAGGTCTGGCAGGGTTGGTTTCTGGTAAGGGTCCTTATCCTGACTTGCACATGGCTGCCTTCTCACTGTGCCTCACGTGGCAGAGAGACAGAGAGAGAGAGATCTCTTCCTTTTCTCCTTCTTTTTTTTTTTTTTTTTTTGAGATGGGTTTTGCTCTTGTTGCCCAGGCTGGAGTGCAATGGTGTGATCTCGGCTTACCACAACTCCGCCTCCTGGGTTCAAGTGATTCTCCTGCCCTAGCCTCCCAAGTAGCTGGGATTATAGGCATGCACCACCACACTTTGCTAATTTTGTATTTTTAGTAGAGACGGAGTTTCTTCATGTTGATCAGGCTGGTCTCCAACTCCCAACCTCAGGTGATCCACTCACCTGAGCCTCCCAAAGTGCTGGGATTACAGGTGTGAGCCACCGTGCCCGACAATCTCTTCCTTTTCATATAGTACCACCAGTTCTATTGGATTAGGGCCCCATATTTATGGTCTTATATTACCTTAATTGCAGTAGTCCTTCCTTATCCATAGTTTTGCTTTCTGTAGTTTCAGTTACTTGCAGTCAACTGTGGTCTAAAAGTATTAAATGGAAATTCCAAAAATAAACAATTTATAAGTTTTAAAATGTACATCATTCTGGCCAGGCGCAGTGGCTCATGCCTGTAATCCCAGCACTTTGGGAGGCCAAGGTGGGTGGATCACTTGAGGTTAAAAGTTTGAGACCTGCCTGGCCAAGATGAAGAAACCCCGTCTCTACTGAAAATACAAAAAACAGCAGGGCGTGGTGGCAGACACCTTTAATCCCACATACTTGGGAGGCTGAGGCAGGAGAATTGCTTTAACCTGGGAGGTGGAGGTTACAGTGAGCTGAGATTGTGCCATTGTACTCCAGCCCTCCAGCCTGCGGGGCCAGAGCAAGACGTACAATTTTCTTTCTTTCTTTTTTTTTTTTTTGCAACAGAATCTCTCTCTCTCTCTCTCTCTCTCTCTCTCTCTCTCTCTCTCTCACCAAGGCTGGAATGTAGTGACGCTGTCTCAGCTCACTGCAACTTCCACCTCCCAGGTTCAAGCAATTCTCATTTCTCATGCTTCAGCCTCCCAAGTAGCTAGGACCACAGGTGTGCGCCACCATGACCAGCTAGTTTTTGTTGTTGTTGTTGTTTTTTGAGATGGAGTTTTGCTGTTGTCGCCCAGGCTGGAGTGCAGTGGCACAATCTTGGCTCACTGTAACCTTCACTTCCCAGGTTCAATCAATCCTCCTGCCTCAGCCTCCCAAGTAGCTAGAATTACAGGCACCCACCACCATGCCCGGCTAATTTTTGCATTTTTTTGTAGAGACATGGTTTCACCATGTTGGCCAGGCTGGTCTTGAACTCCTGACCTCAAGTGATCCACCCACCTAAGCCTCCCAAAGTGTTGGGATTACAGGTGTGAGCCACTGTGCCTGGCTCTGAGTACAGTTTTCTGAAATCTCACACCGTCCAGCTCCGGGCCACCCAGGACATGAATCATCTCTTTGTCTAGCATCTTCTCACACTATAGGTTACTTACCCCTCTGTAGACACTTAGCAGCCATCTGGATTGTCTGAAGTATTGCAGTGCTAATGTTTAGGCCACCCTTATTTTCTTATTTTACTTATTAATGACCCTAAAGTGCAAGCATAGTGATGCTGGAAATTTGGATATGCTTAAAAGAAGTAAGTGCTTCCTTTAAGTGAAAAGGTGAACATTCTCAACTTAATAAGGAAATAAATTGTATGCTGAGGTTGCTAAGACAGTAACAAGAATGAAGAATGGTAGGAATAAATCTTCTATTTGTGAAAACATATATTGTTACAATTATTTTATACTATTATTAGTAATTGTTGTTAATCTCTTACTGTATTAGAGTTCTCCAGAGAGACAGAATCAATAGTATACAGAGGCTGGGCATGGTGGCTCATGCCTGTAATCCCAGCACTTTGGGAGGCCGAGGCAGGTGGATCATGAGGTCAAGAGATCAAGACCATCCTGGTCAACATGGTGAAACCCCATCTCTACTAAAAATGCAAAAAATTAGCTGGGCATGGTGGTGCGTGCCTGTAATCCCAGCTACTCAGGAGGCTGAGGCAGGAGAATTGCCTGAACCCAGGAGGTGGAGGTTGCAGTGAGCCAAGATCGCGCCATTGCACTCCAGCCTGGGTAACAAGAGCGAAACTCCGTCTCAAAAAACAACAACAAAAAAAGGATACAGATAGGCCAAGCATGGTGGCTCATGCCTGTAATCCCAGCACTTTGGGAGGCCAAGGCAGGTGGATCACCTGAGGTCAGGGGTTCAAGACCAGTCTGGTCAATATGGTGAAACCCCATTTCTACTAAAAATACAAAAATTAGCTGGGCATGGTGGTGCACACCTGTAGTCCCAGCTACTCAGGAGGCTGAGGCATGAGAATCACTTGAACCCAGGAAGCAGAGGTTGCAGTGAGCTGAGATCATACCATTGCACCCCAGCCTGGGTGACAGAACAAGACTCTGTCTCAAAAAGAAAAAAAAAAAGATCAACATGGGTCTCCTAAGTACTCATGGTCTCATAAGGACATTTAGTTGACATTGTATAGAATCAGCTCTATATTCTCCTCATTCTGAACTTCACTGCAAAACATTTAGCCAGAGGAGCTTACCTAAGTAAACCCCTCAACTAATCCGTTAAAGAGAGGGGATTGTTGGGGGAGGAGAATTCAGTTCTCAAGAAAAGAAGGCATAATCTCAGGCATTGGAAAACTACATGGGGACTTTTGACAACTTTACCCAGTACCTTAACATCTGGTATGATGTTAAAATGCATGCTGCACAAATGTTAACAGATACCTATTCAGTACCTAGAATGGCACTGTGCTAGATGCTGAAGAAAGAAAAGCAGTGAAAGGTATAGGAGATGAATAATAGGGTTTGGCATGACAGTCATTGCTGCTTCATTTGTGGACAGCTATTTCATTATGCATGTGTTCAAGGTCAGGCCTGGAAAGGAGATTAGAGACCCTTTCCAGAATACTTGGGAAGTGTTTGTGATTGAGAACTGCAGCCAGCAGATTTGGCATTCATTTGTTGCATTTGTGCTTCTTAACATATTAGGAAGAATCTGTAGAATTATTTTATTTATATTTTAAAACAAAAACGCAAATTTCTGTATGCACAGATAATTTCTTTTTTTAAATAACACTAAGACAAGACTTACGTAGTATGCATAGATAATTTTTTTTTTTTTTTTGAGACGGAGTTTTGCTCTTGTTACCCAGGCTGGAGTGCAATGGCGTGATCTTGGCTCACCACAACCTCCGCCTCCTGGGTTCAAGCAATTCTCCTGCCTCAGCTTCCCGAGTAGCTGGGACTATAGGCGTGTGCCACTATGCCCAGCTAATTTTTGTATTTTTAGTAGAGACAGAGTTTCACCATGTTGACCAGGATGGTCTTGATCTCTTGACCTTGTGATCCACCTGCCTCGGCCTCCCAAAGTGCTGGGATTACAGGTGTGAGCCACTGCACCCGGCCTGCATAAATAATTTCTTAAAGGAAATACCAGACTCTTTAACAGTAGCTGCTACTTAGTTGGAGCTAGGGAAGAGGGATAATTGCTTTTTAATTCCTCATGAATCTGTTATTTTTAGTAAGGCTTTATTTACTTTTAAATTATTATTATTATTGTTTTAAAGACAGGGTTTCACCATGTTGGTCAGGCTGGTCTTTAACTCCCGACCTCAGGTGATCCGCCCACCTTGACCTCCAAAGTGCTTGGATTACAGGCGTGAGCCACCATGCCCGGCCTTACTTTTAAAATTATATGACACCTGTAATCCCAGCACTTTGGGAGCCCAAAGTGGGCAGATCACAAGACCAGCCTGGCCAACATGGCGAAACCCCGTCTCTACTAAAAATACAAAAATTAGCCAGGTGTGGTGCATGCCTGTAATCCCAGCTACTTGGGAGGCTGAGACAGGAGAATCACTTGAACCCGGGAGGCGGAGGTTGCAGTGAGCCAAGATCGCACCACTGTACTCCAGCCTGGGCGACAAGAGCAAGACTCCATCTCAAAAATAAATAAAATTATATATACACAATTATAATTATATATAATTTTAAATCATATAATATATATGATTTAAAATAATATTCTTCATATCTGATAAAACTTTCCTCCCTCTCTGCTCAACTTCTAGCTATCCAAGTGAATGCTATATGTGTACATTTTGATAATATTTGACTTGATAAGTTCAAAGCATAAAACAGAGTTTCTTTAAAAGATAACAATGCCTTTAAACCTTCTTATAAACACAGTGGTCTTCTCATGGACTTCCTTCTGGAAGTTGAGTAGGGAGTGACCCAGGGACACCACTCCAAATGGCTCAGACTAGAAATGGTGGGGGGGTCAGAAGAGGGCTCATTAAGGTGAAATAAAACAAAGAAGATCCCTCCAATTAGAACTCATGCCTATTACAGTGCTGGGGGCCCCAATGACCTATTGTTTGGCAAAATTTTAAGGTCTAAAAACTGTTCATGGTCAAAGAAACAATATATATTTGAGGTAATGGATGTGATAAAAAGCCTGATTTGATCAACCTACAGTGTATACTCCGTCACCAGGCACCAGGCTGGAGTGGAGTGGTGTGATCTCGGCTCACTGCAACCTCTGCCTCCTGGGTTCAAGCAATTCTCCTGCCTCAGCCTCCTGAGTAACTGGGAATACAGGTGTGTGCCACTACACCCATCTAATTTTTTTGTATTTTTAGTAGAGACGGGGTTTCACCATGTTGGCCACCTCGTGATCCACCTGCCTCGACCTCCCTAAGTGCTGGGATTACAGGCGTGAGCCACCATGCCCGGCCTACTTTTTGTTTCTTAAGACAGAGTCTTGCACTGTTACCCATGCTGGAGTGCAGTGGCATGATCTTGGCTCACTGCAACCTCCACCTCCCGGGTTCAAGCGATTTTTTTCCTGTCTTAGCCTCTCGAGTAGCTGGAACTACAGGTGTATGCCACCACACCCAGCTCATTTTTTGTATTTGTAGTAGAGATGAGTTCTCACTGTGTTAGCAAGGATGGTCTCTTACCTCCTGACCTTGTGATCCACCCGGCTTAGCCTCCCAAAGTGCTAGGATTACAGGTGTGAGCCACTGCACCTAGTTTTTTTTTTTTTTTTTTTTTTTTTTTTTTTGAGACAGAGTCTCATTCTGTTGCCCAGGCTGGAGTGTGGTGATCTTGGCTCACTGCAACCTCCACCTTCTGGATTCAAGAGATTCTCCTGCCTCAGCCTCCTGAGTAGCTGGGACTGCAGGCACGTGCCATCATACCTGTCTAACTTTTTATATTTTTAGTGGAGACAAGGTTTCACCATGTTAGCCAGGATGGTCTTGATCTCCTGACTTTGTGATCCACCCACCTCAGCCTCCCAAAGTGCTGGGATTACAGGTGTGAGTCACCGCGCCTGGTCTAATTATCTACTTTTTAAAAAGGTTTTAAAAACTTTATAAAAATATACACAAAAAGCAGTTCGTGGTCTAATTTCTTTTTCCTTGCTCAGCCTCATCTTGTAGCACCTGTTTATACACATATCATCTCTATTCCCATAACAAAAATAGGTAGGATTAGCCAGACACAGTGGCTCATGGCTATAATCCCAGCACTTTGGGAGACCAAGATGGGAGGCTCAATAGCTCAATAGTTTGAGCCCAGGAATTCAAGACCAACTGGGGCAACACACCAGACCCTATCTCTACAAAAAATTAAAAATTAGCGAAGCATGTTGCACACCAGTAATTCTAGCTACTTAGGAGGTTGAGACAGGAGGATCACTTGAGCCCAGGGTTCAAGGCTGAAGTCATTGATAATCATGCCACTGTACTCCCATGTAGGTGACAAAACAAGACTCTGTCTAAGGAAAATAAAAGGGTAAGATTTCCCAGTACCCGAATCTATGTCTTTCCCAGTACCCCAATCTATGTCGCTCCTCTGCATCTCCCAGTAATGTAATCCCATTTAAGCTGTGCCGCAAGTATACCATGCTGTCTTCTTCATGCACAACTTTGCATGTGCTAGTCCTTCCTCTAACACACTTCCTCATTTTCCAACACCCCTCATCTTATTTGTCTAGCAACCTTTTGTTCATCCTTCAAAAGAATTATATTAGATTCCATGGCATCATCCCTGATTTGCCCAGGTTTTCTTTTTTTAATTTAATTTAATTTTATTTTATTTTGAGACAGAGTTTTCGCTCTTGTTACCCAGGCTGGAGTGCAATGGCGCGATCTCGGCTCAAGGCAACCTCCGCCTCCTGGGTTCAGGCAATTCTCCTGTCTCAGCCTCCTGAGTAGCTGGGATTACAGGCACACGCCACCATGCTTTTTGTATTTTTAGCAGAGACGGGGTTTCACCATATTGACCAGGATGGTCTCGATCTTTTGACCTCGTGATCCACCTGCCTCGGCCTCCCAAAGTGCTGGGATTACAGGCTTGAGCCACCGCGCCCAGCTTTGCCCAGGTTTTCTTGGACACTTTTGTTATATTCCCATTGTTTACTATGTTCTAGCATATACACGAGTTTTTTACTGTAAGCCATAAGCGCCTCTGAATCCTAGATGAATAGTACTTGCTCAATTATGTTTGTTTAGTAAAGGAATTATTCCATTTACACCATAAACTTTCTTCCTGTGGCTAGCCTATGAATGTGTGGTCTCTAAGAAATAGAATTATGCCTAAGCTATCCCTTTCCTCAGTTTTTATCTACCCAGAAATGGAAATTAGCAAACTAATGTCTGAGTCTTAAGTGAAATTGTTTTCATTTTACTTAAAGTCTCAACCCTTGAGTTACATAGTTTTAACCTTCTGGAAAGTTCTCTTTTCTTTTCTTCCGGTTCCTGATTGCCACACTGGAGGGAAAGTTCTAAATGAATACTTAGGTTTGAAAGTATTTTTCTACATCTAGTCATTTTGCCACTTTGTAGATTTGCCTCTATTGTCCTAAGGTTTCAGCACAATAAAAATGTCTTTCTTCCAGTGCTTGTTTTGACATCAATGTGGCATTAAAAAGCCCAAGACTTGCTTTTCACATGTTGCGAGAGTCGTATCGCGGGTCTCTCCTTGCCACAGTGTGCCAGAGCAGAGTACAAGTCTGAGGCTGAGGGAGTCATGGCAGGACAGGAGTTTAGAAAGTTTCTCTCACTCTTTGACCGAGTATTGCTTGAAAGGAGTACTGCTGAAACTGTAACCAAAGGAGGCATTATGCTTCCAGAAAAATCTCAAGGAACAGTATTGCAAGCAACAGTAGTCGCTGTTGGATGAGGTTCTAAAGGAAAGGGTCGAGAGATTCAACCAGTTAGCGTGAAAGTTGGAGATAAAGTTCTTCTCCCAGAATATGGAGGCACCAAAGTAGTTCTAGATGACAAGGATTATTTCCTATTTAGAGATGGTGACATTCTTGGAAAGTATGTAGACTGAAATAAGTCACTATTGAAATGGCATCAATGTGAAGCTGCCCATTCCACTGAAGTTCTGAAATCTTCCATCATGTAAAAATTTCCATATCTCTCTTTTATAATAAACTAATGATAACTGAAAAAAAAAAAAAAAGCCCAAGAGTTTTACAGACTAATTTAAACTGAACAAGGAAGTAGAATCTAGTACCTACTAGGAAACATGGGCCTGGCTTGCTAGCAGTTCTTGGAAGTCATTGTGTTTTCCAATAAATTCATGCAAATCATACCAGAAAGGGAAGCCACAAAGCTGAGGCTGGGACTGTTGGGATCATGTTAGTAATTAAAGTCTCTCTCCTCTTGAGAACCAGTGAGAGCCTTCCCCATACAAAAAACAAAAAAGACCATAGCTTGCTGCCAAAGTGGATCTGACCAAGCGTCCTCTCACTCTAAGAGATGAAAATAAAGCCTCCTGCAGTCCTTTTCTCCAAATACACAAAGAAGTGACTGGGCTGAGGCTGAAGGGCACAGTTCCAGTCCCTGTTGGCAAGAGCAGAGCAAGGCTCCAGTCCTTCCAAAGGGTACAAAGGACAAGAATGTTTCCTAGAAAAGAAACCAGGGAAGGAGACCATAGTAGACCTAGCTGATATGGAGCTATTATGTAAAAACTGAAAGCTGCTTCAATACTACTTCAAAGCCGGATTATTCTGGGAACTGAAGAGAGACTGAGCCTTCAAGTAATACGACTGGGGAAGTCAAGTACAAAAAAAATAATGAGACCAGGAAGGAACAAAGCATGCATTTCCAGCTAATACCACTCATTGGAAGAGGTTGTTTGGAAAAGGTTTGCAAATACCACAAAAATAGGATTCAAGATGTCTATGTATAGTGATATTCATTGCAGCATTATTTATAATAGCAAAAAAATTGGTAGCAACTGAAGCATCTAGCAGTAGACGAACTGTTGTATAGCCATGGTCTAGAATGTTAAACCACAATATAAAGTTTTCTGTGCGTATTTAATAACCCAGAAAGATTTTCACAATACAATATTGAGTTTTGGGGGGTTTTTTTGAGATGGAGACTCGCACTGTCACCTGGACTGGAGTGCAGTGGCGTGAACTCCATTCACTGCAACCTCCACCTCCCACATTCAAGCGCTTCTCCTGCCTCAGCCTCCTGAATAGCTGGGATTACAGGTGCCCGCCACCACGCCTGGATAATTTTTTGTATTTTTAATAGAGACGGGTTTTCACTATGTTGGCCAGGCTGGTCTTGAACCCTGACCTCATGATCTGCTCACGTTAGCCTCCCAAAGTGCTGGGAATACAGGCATGAGCCACCCCACCTGGCCATTTTTCACCCTTTACATTTGTTTTTTTTTTTTTTCTTTTCTTTTCTTTTTTTGAGACAGAGTCTCACTCTGTCACTCAGCCTGGTATGTAGTGGTGCAGTCTCGGCTCACTGCAACCTCTGCCTCCTAGGCTCAAGTGATCCTCCTGTATCAGCCTCCTGAGTAGCTGGGACTTATAGGCACACTCTACCATGCTCAGCTAATTTTTGTGTTTTTAGTAGAGACAGGTTTTGCCATGTTGCCTAGGCTGGTCTCAAACTCTTGGGCTCAAGTGATCCACCTGCTTCAGCCTCCCAAAGTGCTAGGATTGCAGGCATGAGTCATCATGCCAGCCAGTCTCTTCTTTAAGACCCTCTTCCTGATCACTTGAGCCCAGGAAGTTGAGGCCGCCAATGAGCCATGCTCTCCACTGCCACTTCACTCTAGCCTGGACAATAGAGTGAGACCCTGCCTAAAATAATAATAATAATAATGTCCTTAAAAAACAAACAACAACAACAACAAAAAAAAAACACTGGTTGCCACTGAAGATGGTGAGGTTCTGAAGATGCCTCTGATGCTCAATTTTGAGGGACTTCTATATCCTGTTGAGAATCCAAGGTGGCCAGGCACGGTGGCTCATGCCTGTAATCCCAGCACTTTGGAAGGCTGAGGCGGGTGGATCACCTGTGGTTAGGAGCAGCCTGACCAACATGGAGAAACCCTGTCTCCACTAAAACTACAAAATTAGCCAAGCATGGTGGCTTATTTCTGTAATCCCAGCTACTCAGGAGGCTGAGGCAGGAGAATCACTTGAACCCGGGAGGTAGAGGTTGTGGTGAGCCAAGATCATGCCTCTGCACTCAAGCCTCGACAATAAGAGCAAAACTCCATTTCAAAAAAAAAAAAAGAAGAAGAAAGAAAGAAGTCCAAGGTGCAGCATGTAC